TCATCTATTTGAAATTTCTGTGACAGAATCTCTGTTTGGTATTAAATCAGCCACTTTCGGACAATCGAGGCAGTAATGCTGTAGGTGGCTGGCATTGTGTGCGTCGCACAACTTGCTTGATGAATACTGGGGCACGTCCTCAGACTCGCCCACCTGCCACACGGGTCTGGAGCCTAACCGGAGCCGGGCAGCCACCACATCATGTCTTCTGACCTGCAGACCGCGGCGTCGGTCCTTGTAAGGCGAGATGCGAAGTGGTCGTAGTGCTGGATGCTCGCTGGCCGCTCGTCGTTCCTGTGCTGGAGGGTTGGCTGACGAGCTGAAGCATGGATCCTCCGCCTGCAGTGGGAGAGAGTGGCCGGCGAGGTGTCGGCAGCTTTGGCAAGACGGTCCACCGAATCATTTGCTGTCACTCTGACATGTGAGGGAATCCATACGAAATGTACTGAGTGCGCCTATCCAATGGCTGTGACTAGACAGCATAGTATGCGATTGACTATGCTGTGTGCAGAATGGTATAATGCTGGGGCCCACTGAAAATTCAGCCAGTGTTCGTGGGTTTTGTGGAGTGAAGATCCTGCTTTTTCAGGAGAGATGACAAGGCCACATGAAGAGGACGACTCGTAAAATGAATGTAAGAAATGCTGCAAATCTTCTGGGGAGTTGGAGTGAGATGTCATCAGCATAGCATGTTATTGTTGTCCCTGGGATGTCAGGGAGCTTGGAGATGAGGCGGTGCATAAGGATATTGAAAAGAAATGGACTAAGGACTCCTCCCTGTGGAGTCCCAAGACCAAAGCACTTGGGTGTGCTGCAGGCACCCTCAAAGAGGACATAGGGTGATCTATTGCTTAGGTATCCTCGTATCCATCGCAATAGGTTTCCACAAATACCAAAGTCCACAAGTTGGTCGAGGATCACATCTGGATTTGCAATGTCAAAGGCGCTTTTCAGGTCCACGAATGCCACAAGACTTGTAGAGGAGAGGCGGGTGTATAGCTCCAATAGACAGTGGTGTGTGCTGCACTGTGGCAAGAAACCATATAAACTGGGTGAGAGTTTATCCTGAAGGCGATACATAAGGCGATTCAGGAGGACCCGTTCCAGCACTTTACAGAAACAAGATGTAAGGGATATTGGTATAAACTTGTCAGTGCCATGCTTAGGAACAGGTACAATTAGCCTCTTTGTCCAGTCTTGTGGCACATATCCATGTCTGAGGCAGAGGTTGTAAAGCTGTAAGAGGGGATCACCAGGGACTTTCAGGAGGAGGCGTAAGGCAGAGTATGTGATCCCATCATCACCTGGAGCTGTTGCCTTACGCCTAACAAGAGCATAGCAAAGTTCATCCTTTGTTATTGGAATGTCTTCCTCCTCATCTTTCTTTAGCAGGGCTGCTGACAGGCGTAGAGCACGGCGAATTTTCTGAGAGGAGAGCACCTCTTGTACATATGAAGGAAGGCTTTGAACACTGGCTTGCTGCGACCAGGCCTTAACAAGATCTTGTGCATACTGAACTAGACTGTGATGGAGTGCACTTGGGGTCTTTTTCTTTAAAGCCTTCCTGATAAGTCGCCACATGGACCCCACACTGGTCTGATGATTGATGGTATTCGTGAAATCATGCCAGGCATCACGATGAACACATTGTTGTAAGGCAACAAAGGTACTGCTGGACGTCTGGTATTGCTTCAGGTTGTCTGGAGTTGGATCCCTCTGATAGACAAGGCTGTCTCTCTGCTGCCTTGATGCGTCTGTCAAGTGTCCATCATGAGCTCCAAACTGGCGCTTAATGTTTGGTCTGCGAACATAGTGGTTATAAAATTCATGCGTTAAAGATACAAGAGACGAGTATAACTTCTCAGGAGAACCGAGATCAAGCTTGAAGAAGAGACCAGTTATGTAGGAAATATAGTTAGAGCAGTACTTTGGAGGGACACTGATACAGGTGCGCTGATAGGCAGATGAATGCACTGTAGGGATCGAGTACTGAAGGCTGAGGGCAAGGTGATCAGAGAAAAGAAAATGCATAGATGAGCACTTGACCTGAGATGCTGCATCCATAGGTAAGTATGTGGTCAAAGGTGCCTCCTCCAGAATGCGTGGCACCTCCTGTATCCCAGCGAGTTAGGTGGTTGTGCTGTATGAACTTCGTAACTTGTGTGCCACTGTAGCTGACAGTATTAGAACGTCCACCTAAAGCAGAATGCCGAGCGTTAAAAGCACCCATATATATTATGCTATGGTCCATAGGAGAAGGGAGAGCATCAATGTTCATCCTTCCTGGGGCAGAATAGACATTGCAGAGACGAATCGCCCTACTCCCAGCTGAACCTCGAGGAGTTGAAAAGTGGCATTGTCATTATCTGATGTACGGAGTAGTCGGTGCTGAACAGAGGAATGGATATAGGTGATGAGCCCATTTCTATGATGAACATAAGAAACATAACCACTGAGAGTTGGTGCTGCAGTTCTTACAGCATGTCCAACAAAAGACGTATAAAAATGACATTTGGATGATGACAATAAACATATGCCTTAAGTGAGGTAGTTTTAGCTGGAGACGTTATGCCACAAGCATTCCAAGAGAGGACATGAAGGTTTGTGCTACTAGTGAACATTACTCCAATGCTTGCGTGAGCCAGATGAGGTGGGAGGCAAGTTATTGTTTCAGGGTGAGCCACGAGAAACCTGTGGGAGTGGTCACTGTTTC